CAGTTGCTCGACTCGCCCGAACGCAACACAGAGGAGAGCAGTCTTGCACGAAACAACGATTTCATCGGTCATCGAGATGGTCATCATCTTCTGGAGGCCTCGGTACCCAAGACGCTCGCCATGGAGGCCAGATCACCGCCACGACAAGACCGTCGATGAGAGGTTGAGGGATCGGACCGAAATACCTGAAGGATAGGTGTTTGCTTTCCTCAGCCGAGATCACTACAGAGAGTTACACACGACTTAGAGTAGAAGTGTACAAAAACCAACGAAAATTTTCCCAAAATTTCCTCAGAATTGTCACAATTTCACCAACCCACGTAGCTGAGCATATGCATATGCAACTATGAGGAAATAAATTCAAACTCCACGCTTAAATGCTGGTGAAGTTGCAACTGTACGACAACTTGGCACCCTCCGAGACCTCACCTGCTGTCAACGCTCCTATCAGGATTATCCCCCAGCACATAACTGAACAGAACATAGGAGTTTCACCCGTGATATGAAAAACACTAGTGAAAAACATATTTCACAAAACACTCGTGAAACATACTATAATATTACTCCACATTGAAGAGATAGAATTCCTTCATATAGCGACCTCGATGCTTCTTACACTCTGCCTCCCATATCCTCAAACGCTACACTATGAGTTGTAGTATCAATGCCGCCAGCACCACCCAGTTCATCGTAGTCGTCAATTGAATGTATACTTGCTGACGATCGATGTCGAGGTTCCACAGCTACTACACGCTTCACCAAATGCCTGCCATGAACCAAATGAACAAAATCACTAGAGTCTGATACCATGCTATTAAGGCTGTCTTTGCAATGGAGTGGTATGAGAGTGCAATACAACAACACAAACAAGAGGAGTGTCCCCTAAAGGGACACCCTTCTACTATATGGAATAGGACTCCCCTTCCATATAGTTAACGCCTAAAATCGATCGAACCACGATGAAATAACACAACGCTAATATTTTTTGGCATTTTCGTCGAACCGTGGGGAATATACTTCCCGGTACTGCATCGCTCAGTGACTCGGAATATAAATTTTTCGTTGTTCTTAACCAGCCATTCAAATGTCTATGACCAACCAAATGTTGAACACAATATGCTACCCGATAGAAAGCATATTCTGCCTACCCCCCGACAGGTAATACCCATAAGCACCATTTCACTAGAGTGCACTACCACGCTATTAATAATGTCTTCACGTCGGAGTGGTATAAGCTAGACAAATAATATTATACTTTCATCTCACATAGCAGCGTAATATCACTATAAAACCAACACAATCAATAGGAGCGTCCCATCCCATACCCCACCTCTTAGGATCAAACGGATCTCGAAAGGTGACCACATCGCCAGGGCCGATCGCCAGGTTCCGCAACACTATTATTCTATCACGAAACCAGCTACTACCAGGATTCAACGTTGGGCTCATCGAATGACCCTGGACCTAAAACGCAGCCTTCTGAAGAGGCAACCTACTACTACCAACGATATTACGATTTCAATGTCAACTACGCGGTCTTTGATCCACACCAGGGGCGGTCCGAACAGCCAAACCGCAGTTGCCGCTTTCCTTGTGAACAGCCGAAAGAACTCAGCCGTCGATGAGGCACCATACATTCACAAAACTCAACAGTGTAACTAGCGCTCGCCTTGACAATACAGAGCCGCCACAGTAATAATCTTGATAACAATATATTTCCCATATTCTTCGCAAGTGTAGGGAAATATGTACATAGTCAACTACATGTGTTGGTGATGATGTGAAAATTCTGAGAAAATTTGGGAAAATTCTCATTAACTTCTGTACACTTCCACAATCAGTGGAGAAACTGCTGAACTGAGCTAAGAAATGAAAATTCTGAGAATCCTCTTGGGAATTTCTTATTGGTTTCTGTACACTTCTACCCCGAATTCATCTATAAACTCCCATAATTAGCGAGGAAACTCCCGAGCTCAGCTGAGAAAAGCGAACATATATTCCTCCAACACTGTCAAGCCCGCCCAGCTACTTCAACACAAGGAGACAAACCAATCCCAATGGAAGCAACAGTAGCATCTACCACTCGTAGAACAAAACCTCAGAAACCCTACCACCACTACAAAGATTCATCATAACGTAGCGGAGCGTAGGTCGAAGTAGGCCTGCTGGTCAGCTGCTGTCCAACATCGTGACGACGATACCCTCCAGTATTGGTGTGCTCGTGGTTGCTTTCTATATCGTGGTAATCCATCTCGGTGCCCATCTCCAACATGTGGTTGCTACTATCGGAATGACCAAACTTCTTGGAAAACCTGTGAACAGAAAAGTCAACTACATGTGTCGGCGATAATATGAAAATTCTGAGGAAACTCTCATTGGCTTCTCTACACTGCTACTCGAATTCGTATATATACTCCCACAATTTGTGAGAAACTTCAACTCAGCTGAGGAATGAAAATTCTGAAAAATTTTGGAAAAATTCTTACTAATTTCTGTACACTTCTACTCGAGTTCGTATATGATTTGTCTCAGCTGAGGGAAGCGAACGTATATTTCTCTAACTTCAGTATCAGCCTATTCCCACTACCCTCACCTTA